AAATAAATATAATTGATTTTTAATTTTTCTAGGATATTCTATTGGCTTGTTTTTGTAATACATTCAAAACTATTATTTTAATAACGTGGGAAAATAAAGCGTTAGTGCATTACTTCATAGAAATTACTTTTCAATAGTAATTTTGTTACAATTGCGTTACTTTAATCAAAATGTAATGAAATGACTGCTGAGTTACTGAAAAAGTAGTTGCGTTACAGTAATTTGTAATTTACTTTACGTTACTACCCAACACTGCATAATATAATATATACATCACATCTATCATTTAACTAAATGTCTAAATGATAATTTTAATTTTAATTTTAGTAGGTAGGTATCTATAGAAATAATACGAATCTAAACAATGCATTTTTTTAGAACAATCAAATAGGTACATGTTTATGGTGTGTAAGAGTAATACGTATAATGCATGATATAATATGTAATGTAATATTACTAATTATATTAACAAATGATTTACCTATAAATATATATATATATATATATATTATATTTAAACATATATAGTATATATATTATATTTATACATATTATATAGTATATATATTATATTTATACATATATAGTTTATATATTATATTTATACATATTATATAGATATTAGCAGCAGCGGATTGGCTAAAAATTTCGGCCCGGGAAATAACCGTATGATCGGCCCACCGTCCAAAAATAATAATTGTCCATTAAAAAATTTTTTTTTTTAGTCATTGTCTTATTTATTTCATAATAAATATTATATTTTTATTTAATATAATATCCACTCACTTACCTTTACTTTTTGCATCAGTGCTCATGCATCATGCAATGTGCACGTATAAAACAATATTAAAACAAATTTCATCTTCAATTTCATCATGATCATTATTGTCTTTGTCACTATAAGGCTGCATTGTTGTTTAGTACGACTAGGATACTGATTTTTTTAAATACTTCCAATTAACAGCAAAACTTAATAGTTCTGACTTCAGATTTTCATGTGTAATATCGTGATCAATTTTTTTTTAGTTTTAAGGCAAGATTGACAAAAGCTTCGTTTGATAGTTTAGAATTAATATGCTGAGAGTTTCTCTGAGAGATCTTTTTTCCATACTACTAACTACCCCATCCATTACAACATTGTACACTTCTACTTTGAATTTTAAATATAGATCGCTAATAGGGTCATCTTCAACTGATTCAAAATGTTGTTTTTTTTTTCGAATTCTTAATTGTGGTAAACTAGTTTCTATTAATAAATCATAATTTTTGTCTTCAGTATCTTCCAAAGTCTCTAATTTTGTATTTGTATTTTCAATAAATTTTGAAACAATATTTTTCAATTCTTGGTCATCTCTTGATATTAATTTTAACTGTTCTAAAGCTCCATAAGAATAACTAATAGGTAAAATCCTTAATATTTTAAATTGCTTACCTCCATTGCTTTATTTTTTACGTTTTGATTAGACATTATAGAGCGAATATTTTGGCATGACTTAGCAGAATCCGCAAGTAATTTTTGTTTTTTTCCCTTAATTTTTGCGCTCCACCTTTTCTTATTTTATTCAGGCAGTTTATAAATTTTTAGACAAATAACTAATAAGACATTAGAAATTTATAAAAGCGTTCTAGAGTAACCTAGAATATTATAGTCTTCATGCTGTTTAATATACAGTAGATAGTAGATACTATAAGGTCTATGAATGTTGAATGTAATCAACAAAACAGCTGTATCATTTACCACGAACATGTTACGTGATAATAATATTTTTATCACTTTACCTTAGTTCACTAACCATGCAGCTATTATTTATAGAATAAATTATTGTAGAATTGTTTACATCACGTTTAGGTTTTTATAACAATAACAATCTTATCTTATAATTAAATACAATATACTTAAAAATAATTTTTAATCCAAAATATACATCGGCCCAGAGTTATAATACGACAACCGGCCCACCGGGAACTTTCCCGGTATCCCGGTGGGCCAATCCGCCGCTGGATATTAGATATAGTAATATTTATACATTTCTATTTATTCAGTGCCGATCGGTGAAGTGAAGGAAAGTGTGCACATAATAATATAGTCCATGTAGACTGTGAGAGACAAGAAATAAGATAAACAATTCTAACACTGTTGGAAATTTAATTTTTCTTTTTAAGAGCTGTATTTTTTGATTTAACTCATCAAGGTCAACACGTTATCTAGTATCGCTAGTATATTCTGGATGAACTTGACAGCTATTATCACCATGCATAGTATGCCTTAAGATGTATTTTATATTATTATGCTAATGGTTTGTCTAAAATATAC